ATAGGAAATTCAGAAAACAACCCCTTTTAATATAGCATCAAGAGAAATAAAATACTTAGGAATATATTTAACAAAAGGAGTCCAAGACTTGTATCTGAAAATCCAAAACATTGTTCAAAGAAATAAAACCTAAGTAAACGGAAAGACATCCTGCATTTATGGATCAGAAGACTCAATAGTTATAAGATGGCAATATCTCCCCCAATGGATCTATAATCCAATGCAATCCTAATCAAAATCCCAGCCGCCTGGGATTGGAAGGGGTCCAGGGTAACCAAAACAATCTTGAAAAGGATTAACAAAGTTGGAGAACTTATTCTGACCAAAAATTACTTAGGTCATCATTTTACCCTAAATCCCTTAGTGAGGTCACATCATATTTTTTAATGCAGTTAAATTAATTTGTCACAATTTTCTTTTTCATCCTGGGATTGTACCACATCTTGTTTGATATTTTAAAATTTGCATAAAGTTCACTCTTTGTGATGTTCAGTTCTATAAGTTTGGACACATGGATACAGTCTTATACCCACCACCTCAATACCACACATTACTCTAAACTTTCCCCTGTGACCCCTTTGTAATCATATGTTAATTGTATTTTTAACTTTATGAAATATACCAAGTTGTTTTCCAAAGTAGCTGTACCATTTTGCATACCTACCAGACAACGAATGAGAATTCTTGGTGCTTCACATCCTTGACAACTTTTGGCATTGCTCGTTTCTTGGATTTAGCCTTTCTAATAAATGAGTTTTAGGAAAGCAATTCATAAACTGCTTTGCAGAATGAGTGTGCATTTGTAAAAAATCAATTGATACATGATATTGATTATATTAAAAGAATAAATGCCCAGAGAAAAAGAAAGTGAAAAGTTTCCCCCAACAGGAAGCAGTCATTAGCTGAGGAAATTTATGCTTTAGCACAATGAGCAATGCCTTTGCACAGATGCTTGAGAAGTGTTACTTTCCCTTGTTTCCATCTTGTCTTTTCTCAAGGATTTCTGCATTCTCAAAAGGAAAAAGCTTCAGGACAAAGGAAAAAATCTTTGATGGAAGGCTTCCAGACAACAGTCAGTGGAGAGAGGGTCTTTACCACCTAGTCTAAGTACATCTGAGGTAGGGCTTCCAGTCTGTAGAAGACATTCTGTCTGTGAAGTCCAAGACCTCCTTCCTCTCTGTCTTCACGTTCCTAGAATTGTCTACTAGGCAACAACTGAGGAAGATTGGAAGGAAGGGGAGGGGCGAAGGGATTTTCTTCCTGTTTGCCTGCTGTCCTGCTTAGGTAGCCATAGTTGTGGCAGTTTATCCTGGCAGTGGCAGTTGGATCCAGCCTCCTTTGGGAACTTCTTTTGGGACTCCCCAGAACCAGTCTCACCATTCAATGCCCCCTTTCAGAAAATGTCCAAAGTCCTATGTTTGCCAAACTCCTCTGAGTTCCTAAATTACCAGTAACAGCCAGCAGCACCCCCTCTTCAAAGGTCTGAGTTGCAGCTCTGAGGCGCTCTTCTCTGAGCACCCTTTCTCTTTTGCTCCCCTAGCCCTAAGGGTAATGGCTATTTTCTGCAGTACTCTTTCCGGCTAAGCTAAGTACTCCTTTTCTGCTCTCTCAGCCCCCTGACGTCTATTTGATTAATTCCCTCTATTAAATTCTCTTTGGTGAAATACCTAACATATTTTTCCTAATTTGTTCTTAGATTCTGGTATTTAGGCTATTTCCTTTTTTCTATTAAAAACTGCTGCAATAAGCATTTGTACATGCCTCTGGGCACACATATGTGACAATTTTCCTGTAATATAGAGCCAGAAGTAGGGTTGCTAGGTCACAGGTATGAGCATCTTCACTTTACTAGACAAAAGTCACCCCCTGCACTTCAAAGGAGCATTTTATTTTCCACTTTGTTCATTAGTTTGCTTTTCACCTTTCCTTCCTTGGAGTAATACTAATGGCCCTGAGGCCCAGAGAAGGAAGCTGCCTTGGCTTCTACTTGATAAATTCCTGGAAGAAGGGTCTCAGATGGACCAGAGTTTGCCTGATAAAGCTATGACAGATCCTGGGCCCTGTTGAATTTTGATAGCTGGTACATCAGATCTCTGAGGGCCAATGCTTCAGGGCAATGGAGCAGGCATCTGTCTTGATAAATTAGCTGAGTTACGAATATCTTCAGACATTTTTTATCCTGGTTACTGACAAGATACTCTTTGTCTAACTCTGTGTGGTTCCTTGCTATCTGGCAGCTTTGGGACTTTCCAAGCTTGACACACTGGGATCTTGGCCAGGTTGGGTTCCCCAAAGCCAAAGTTCAGTCTTCTCCTCTGAGATCTTGCTGCCTTCCATGTCCCTGGACTTCTGCCAGGAAGCCTGCATCCCTCCATACCTGGAGGAGTGCTCACCAATATTTTCTTCCTTTCCTGTCTCAGGGATACTCTCTCTCACTCTCTACACACACACACACACACACACACACTTCCATGAGCTTAGACTCCCACAAAAGGCACAAAGCTATCTCCCAGCATAGCTCCCTGTGGCTGAACCCAGTACAGCAAGAAGGATGGCCTCCAGTCAGCAGCCACAGTGACTATAAGAACATGAGTGGCTGTCTCAGATTCCAAGACAGTGAATAGGAGTCCTGAAAACAGCCCAAGATTCCACCTCCCAACAATCTTGGCAGCTTGAGATTAACTAGATGAAACCATATTCATTTATCTCTCAAGGAAAACAATATGATGTTTTCTGCACCCAAGGAGTTTCACAGGCCATGCCTGTTATGTTATTTGAAAGTTTATTCACAGGATCATTCCCTGTGAGGTGAGGTGGGCAGTATCCTTCCCACTTCTCAGTTAAGGAAAGTGAGGCCCAGAAAAGGAAAGTAACTTGCCTGAGTGGCAGTGCTGTGACTTGAACAAGCTCAGGCCTGAATCCCCAAAACCCACATTCTAACTTACCACCTAAATTCCTTGGACATAAGCAGTAGAAGAATCTGGAGACATGCTTAACAGGGACATGCCTGCAGCTTCCTGCCCACTCATGCCTTTCCAAACTGCCTGAATGTCCCCAATGGACAATTGATACCAGGAAATTTAGCATCTACCTGAGACCCACTTCTTATATATTTGAATGGTTTGACTTATTTCCTCTGACAAGTGTTGCAGCTTTGGTCGCATTGTCTCACCTGTTTCTGGCTCCCTTCATGTGGAGTGTGCACTGTCCCCTGTTCACCAGTGCCTGTTTTCCTGGGGAAGGTAGGCGGACTGCCCTAGACACATATCTAGAACCGAATCTTCCCTTATGACAAAATATGAAGCAAGACTCATTCAATATTTTTTAAATCCAGGTCTCTATTTTTCTTGTGCAAATATAAACATAGGCATAATTAATAGTTAAGGCTTTTTAAAATATATGCATTTGGAGAATACATTGCTAGTTACAGTTTGCTGATGATATGGGCTTGGATCACATCTTCCTTTAATAGTCCTTTTAAATTCATTTTAGAAAGTTAAAAATGGTCACATGATCCATAATAAAAATCAGAAGAGACTCATATAAATCCAAAATACATACTTGAAAATGCAGCACCTTTTGTATGAACTACATTAGGGTCCAGTTATATAGCATATGGATTATAACATCAGACCACAAAGGTTTTGAAGTTCCCAAAGCAAAATGGGGCATTGTTTTCTGAGAAGGAAAAGGAGAAGTTGGAAGAGAAAGAAGGAAGGGAGGAAGAGAGGGAGGGAGGGAGAAGGGAGAGGGAAGGAAAGGAGGGAGAGAGAGAGAGAGGAAAGGAGGAAAGAAGAAAGGAGGGAGGGAGGGAGGGAAGGAGGAGACAGAGAAGGAAAACCTGTACATATAGCTTCTCTGCAACAGAAAAGTGACTCACCTTTGGGTAATTTACAATATGTATTTAAGTGGACCATTAAGGTTATAATTCGCAATCATAGAATCCAAATACAGAAATATCTTATATGATGGTAATGGAATTCTATTTACCAGATTAAAAAAGGAAAAAAGCTAGGTCCTTCACTGTGCACACTTCCTGCTAGCTGAGAGCTTTGCCTTGGAGTAGAATTCCAAGGGAGAGTGAGGCTGCTTCTTTGAGAGGAGGGGCAGTTTGCAAAGATATGGCCTAAGGGTCCGATCTTCTAAAAATTCTAGTTGTCAGCTTTGCTTGACCCAGGACCCCATTCCAACCTTCCACCTGAAAGGCTCTCCCAGAGCATAATTCTCCTCCTCAAGCCAGAACAGGGTGTCCCTGTTCCTGACTGAGGAACGAGGGGAGAGGCTGTCTTTAAATCCTTTGGTGAGTTAGGAGATGTCTCTTTCTCTCATCAAAATATTCTTTTCTAAACAGATTCCAGTTTCACAGGGGCTGCATGGCGGGGAGTCTGGATTTGCTCATAGGCTCAAAGTGACCTCAAATGGGGTGACCTGGCTTCATCCCTTGTGCTTATCATAGCACAATCAAAGGCCAGGATTTTGAGGGTCCCAAAGAGTACATGAGGAGAAACCAGATTCAGAAATGTGCCCCAAACTGTCTCGTGTAAGGATGGATTTGAGATCCCACATTGCACTTCTAGCTTCTGTTACATCTCCCTTATGAGAAGCTGGTGGAGTGGGGTGCGAGAAGGGGTAGATGACTAAATAATCTTCCATTTACAAGAAAATAAAGTTCAAAAGTCTCAAAATTCCTCATGGATTAAAAAAATAAGAGTTCTGTGCCCACACTTTCATATGCGTGGATTGGGGACACCTCACATTATACAAAGTCCTGCCTTATGCAGTGTTCCATGTGGACATCACAGTAACCTCCCACTTCAGTGGGGCTGGCATGAATCCCCCTTTCTAGATGAGGAAACTGAGGCTCTCTCTCAGGGCCACACAGTTGCAAAGGGTAAGGAGAACTGGAATGCAACCCTGCCGAGTCCTGGGCTGTGCAGCTGTGGCCACAATGCATCACACGGATGGCTGACTCTGGGAAGCAGGAGATGGACACCTGCATTTCACTCTTGTTTGGTCTCTGCTTTTGCAGCATCCCCAGGAGCACCCCCATCAGACAGAAGGTCACTCCCACACATCTTCACCTGGCTTTCCAGGTGACTGAGACGCTGCTTCACTTTCATCTGGGTGGCATTGTACTCGGCCAGGAGCCGTGCAAACCTGGTCTGCAGGGTGTCCAGGGAGGACTCCAGGTGCTCTACCTTCTCCTCAATATCCTTGGGGTCCGCCCCAGCCTTGGCCACGTCCTCGTCAATCAGGTTGTCCTTCATCAGGATCTGCCGTCCCTTCTCCTCCAGAGCTTTCTTGGCTTCTGGATATTCAGTGAGAGCCTCCATCAAATCATCTTTGGAAAGGCAGAACAGGTCTGAGTAACCAATGCTCCTGATGTTGGCTGTCCTGCGGTTCCCTGCCTTGCTTCCCTTAATGTTTAAGATGCTGATCTCCCCAAAGTAACTCCCATCACTGAGGACCACGAACTGGGTGATCCCATCGTCGGCCACGACAGCCAGCTTGCCCTCCTTGATGATGTACATCTCCCTCCCAATGTCTCCCTTCTTGCAGATGTAATCCCCTGGGCTGAACACTGCAGGCCGCAGCTTGAGCACAAGCTCCACCAGCAGCCCCGCCTCGCAGTCTTGGAAGATGCGGACCTTCCTCAGAGTGTCCAGGTGCACGTTGATGGCGATCTCGGCCTTCAGCTTGTCTGGGAGACTCTTGAGCACCTCCTTCTCATCCACTGTCTTCTTGTTTGCCCACAGGTAGTCAAACCACCGGATCACCCGTGTCTCCAAGTCCTTGGTCACCTTGCGGAATTGCATATACTGCTTAATGGAGTCAATCTTGGACTGGAACTCGGCCCGTGAAGCATTCATGTTTGAGATCATGGATCCCACATTGCCGACAATGGTGGCAAAAATCAAGACTCCCACTAGGAAGTCTATGACCACAAACAGATACTCCTCATCCTTCACAGGGGGTGGGGTCTCTCCGATGGTGGTCAGGGTCAAGGTGGACCAATAGAGACTGTAAATGTACTTCCTAGAGAGGCGGCCATACTCTGGGTTTGAGATGTTTGGATAGACCCAGGAATCTGTCCCAAAACCAATGAACTTGGAAATGGCAAAGTAGATGCAGGCATTCCAGTGGATAATGATGAGGATGTATAAGACCAAGTTTCCAATCCTGAATAAATTAGGGTAGTTTGTCCTTGTCTCTGTGCGGTCAAAGAACTCAAAGAGCCGGGCAAGCTTCAGTAGGCGGTTGAACCTCAGCTCTGGGTAGTTTACACCCAACTTAAAATAAGCCAGGTCTGTGGGGACCAGGGACAACATGTCCAGCTTGAAGTGCACGGTCTTTGTGTAATGCTTCCACAGCCTCTGTGCATCCTTGACCATCAAGCCTTGCTCAAGGAAGCCTGAAGAAAAAGATGGAAGTCACTTGGGCATGGAAGAGGCTGCTATTTTTTTTTTTTTAACCATAGCCCATAGAAAGATATACACCTTGACTAAATAAGATGTAGTTATACATACATAACAGAAAAAATTTCAAAAACCACATTTATCCATTACTATGAAAATATATTCTGATGTTTTCTAGTCTATGATGTTCTAGCCTGTTCATTCAGTTAAAAATGTAGATTAATTGGGTAAATTTGAATGTGGACTGGTGTTTTACATCTACATATATATATATAATATATATATATATAATATATATAT